TTTGTGGGGAGTAAGCGGAAACACCTCATCCTGACTTTTTTTATGCTGGGCTTTCAGCAATCAGAGAAACTGGAGGCAATATTCTCTTAAAAAAAGGAGAAAAAAACCTTTCACACCCAAGATGGGAAAGCTGGGTGCTGTCCTGGGCCCCAGGGCTGCTGTTGGGGGGTCTATCATCTCCTTGGGAACCACCACCACTCCTGCACAGGAGGAAGGATGGCAAACGGTTTATTTTAGCGATGTGAACTTGGTCCACCATGTGGGATGGTGGCATCTGCCACACCAGGCCTAAGGCCACCCTCTTCTCCAGCAAGGGGGCTTAGGGGGTTCCTAAGGTGCCTTGTGACCAAGGGTGGTAGCTGCTCCCTGCAGCAGACCCCATGAGTGACAACAGACATGTAATAATAAAACAAACAGACAAGAAAATCCCTTTCACCCCCTCTCTGCTGGCCTTCACCCAGGACGCAGGGTGCGTCCCTTCGCTGGCTCAGCTTTCTCCATGGTAACAGATGGATGTCGCAGTCCCATCCCCCTTCATGATGCTAGGGCAGGCGGGTGGGAGACAGATGGCAATGGAGGGGAGAAGAGTCCAGATCCTCCTGAGTGGCAAAAATTGCAGGAATCCCTGATTGCTGGAGCCAAGACATTGACCCAGAGCTGTGGGAGGGAGGGAAGGCGGAGGCGCGTGGCTCTGCTGAGCCCGGAATAGCAGAGCAGCTGTTAAGTTATCACTTGTAATTATTACAGCATATGGGAGGGAAAGAATAGCTCTCAAAGGGAGAAAAACAAATAAGGAAAAGGCGGGCTGCCGCAGGGCTCAGCCATGGGAAGAGTGACACTCAGCACTGCGGCGGGTCCCCACCAGGTGGGCAAGGGCATCGGGGGACAGCTCATCCTCTCCATAGCCCCGGCAGGAATTTGGATGCAAATATTTGCACCTGCAGCACCAAGGGCTCACCCATCTCCCAGGGTGCCCACTGCCCGCTCAGGAGCATGGATATACTGGGGAGAGGATGACAGTGCTGGGTTGTTACAGAGGGATGGAGCCTGGTGTGCTCCCTTCTCCATGCAAAATCCTACTTCTTGCTGCATAATTTGAAGGATACAGGGCCATGCACAGCAAGCGATAATGCTGGAGCACAAAGTGCCCCAGTAAACCAAAGGGGAAAGCTTCAGGGGCAAGTCCTGCATAAGAGACTGCTCCTGGAAATACACAGAGAAGGGAAGAAGTGACATGCATTAGCATGAGGGAGAGTAGAGAAATTAGGGTAACAGTCTGTGCATGAGTAGCAATGACAGTCTCTCCTAAATTCTACTCCACTAGCAAAACAAACATTGTATCCCCTCGTAGCAGTTGTTATTCTGGGCTTTCAAAGAAAAGTGGAAATGTGGAGCCATTGGCAGTTGCACCAGCTGCATCCCAGTATGGGGACAAGGAGTTGAGGGGATGCCACCCCTGCTCACACCCCTGGAAAAAGCTTGGGAGACTTAATGAAGAAAAATCTAACCATATCTGCTGTGTATTAAATGTAAAGATTTAAGTTCACTGATGAAATTCACTGCCACTGAGCTACAGATTTTCCTGAGAGCCAGAGAGCATTTGGGGCCCATTTTAACGTTTACTTGTCCTGTGCAACAGGCATGTAGCCACAGAGGTGAGGCAAAGTGAGGTGTTACTTGAGATGATGTTACTTGTCCTGTTTGTTCCTATGCTCTGGTCGCTTTCTCTGGGCATCTGCTACTGGCTACAATTGGAAATGATGCAGGACTAGGGACAAAGAGTTAAGGGGTTAGAACATACTCTGTCAGAGAGGTTTTTATATTCTCTTATGCTCACCTCTCTCTTGCCTTTCAGCTGTATTTATTTGTTTACTACTGCCTTCTCCCTGGCAGTATCATGAACTTACTCGGAGCAGGTGAATTGGCACCTGCCTGCTCACCTAGGTGAACTCTAGCTCATCCCTGGGTCTCTCATCCCAAGCCAACCTGATCCCTTTGTGAAGAGCTTGTGGCTCCAGTGAAAAGCACCAATATATGTCCAAGCAAGAGATGGAATACTCTGGACACCCTGGGCTCACGTGTTGGGACCAAAGCACACCTATCCCAGACATAAGCCAAGAGATTAGAGCAGTGCCTCTCAGAGGTCAGCAGGACACAGATACAGATGGGTGCTGAGCACCTGCTGGTCTCATGGGAGATGCCCTTAAAGCTCTGGTAGCCCACTTGGACATGCAGCACAGGCAGGTGCTGAATGGCAATGCTGTTGCAAAGAAAGCTGTGACAGAGGCATTGGAAACAGGAGGTGGTTCAAACTCTGTGATCCAGAACAGGAGTGAATTGCATGTGGCAGACAACAGCCCCAGCACCGGTTAAATAAACCAGCCAAACCCTGCCAGCGCCCCAGGATCCTTGCCAAGACAGTGCTTGGAGATTGAAGGGCCAGCTCTGCAGCTAGCACATATAAGCTAGCCTGGATGAAAATCATGGAGCCAACACCCTTTTGCACCAGAAGGAAATCTGGCCTGATGCTTTATAAACCACTGGTCCTGCCAGAAGGGCTGACCCCACCCCATGCACCCATGTTGCTGCTCAAGGGCTCTCCTGGGTGACACCTCCATGGGTGGCAGAAAGGGACTCCTGCTGCCTTTGTCATGAGGCTGAAATGCTGCTTGACTGCATGTGTGTGGTGACCCCACCACACAGCTGAACCTGGAAGTGCTCCCCACTGCACTAACACCTCAGAACAGAAGGAAACAGAAAAGCTGAGATTTGCAGAGCTGCTTGGGCCTCATGTCCTCTGTCTGCAGTGACCTGGAGCAGGGAAGGGCTGTGACAGGGCAGATGGGGAATGTGCCTTGGAGCAGGACACAGCTTGGGCCATCCCTGCCCACGGCATGGGGTTGGAACTAGGTGTTCTGTAAAGTCCCTTCCAACACAAACCATTCTATGATCTAGAATGAAAGCATTCTCACGGTCTTTGTGCCAGAGACTCACTGGGAGACTGTGCTGGCTCAAGCAGCCAGGAGGAGACAAAAAGCCTGCCAAGAGCTGCAATGGAGGAGGAGGAGGAGTGTGTTTGCAGTTCTCTGCTATCTCCACACTGGCCCTGGATTGGCAGTGGCTGAGCTACAGACACCATCAGGGTCTCGGGGGCTAAGCCCTCCTTGTAGCAGGATGCTCTGCCTAGGTGGGGGTAAAACAGCCCAGACTTTACCCTATTTGCAGAAGTTACCAGTGGCAATGGAGTAGGAGGGGTCAGGCTGCTTTTGGTGCTGGAGAATGCTGAGAGGAGGCTGACTCATCGAGCCCAAAGTTAAACATTCTGAGGATGTGAAGAACAATGTTTCCTGACAGAAACTGGCACTGGTGAGGAGGTGGCAGACAAAGCTCCTGATAAAGAAGCCAACAAGTGCTAGTAGTGATGACTTATCTAATGGTGCTGAGCTAAAGGCTGCAGAGCTGACATGGGTGGCCTACAAACATATGGCTGATAATCACTTCATACTATCAAAAACTATAATCATAAAATAAAATTAAGAAAAAAGAAAATACTAAAAATACTATAAAAACCCAGTCCCACTTTTTTAATAGCAGGGTCCTCTAATACCCCACTTCTTGGGTCTGTTCGGGGATTCCTCTCTTGAGTTGAGTCACACCTCAAGACTGAGCAAAAGAGATTTGCCCACGGTCATTGAAATGGGTAACATCTATCTATACTTAATAATTATTTTGCCAACTTTAATATAATTGGTTCAATATTTATAAAAAATGGTGCACTATACTAGTAGTTAAAACTATCTGTATTGTGTAGCAAACAATTCTGATTAAAGATTTTTAGTCTAATCATTATTGTCATCAATTGCAATAAAGCAATTATTATTATTATTTCATTCATATAAATACATTTGGTTAGCCATCCTTAATTCTGCAGCACAAAGTTGTATAAAGGCTCAATTACACCTGTATAATTCTTTAGACATAAACCATTGACCAAGGATTGGATCCAGACTCCTCTCTGAGAAGGAGTTTAGAAATCAAGGGGATCCTTTCTGACCCTTGTGACTCAAAGGGAGGGTCTCCATGACAGACTTTGTCTGAAACTTCCATTCTGCCTGCAACTCTCCTGCATCCCAAACTAACCCTGCAAATCTCATTTCACCTCCCATGCCCTCTGCCCTCGTCTCAGGGCAGGGTGACAGTGATGCCAGAGCCATCCCTGCCAGGGCTTAGCACCTGGTGGGTAGCACACACACACAGGTGCACACACACTGTCTCCCTCTTGCATTTTTGGCCACCTTCCCATATGCCAGCATGACATGGCAGCCCCATCCATCTCCTTTCTTCTGTATATCACTTGCAAAGTTGTTTGATTTTAAGGTAATTGCTTTTCCCACAGTAGCAAGGGCCTCTCATTTGTTTTTACATGCCACTAATCTAACCCACAGGCTTGTGTTTGGATTCCTTCTTCCCCTGGACTGTTCGTAATAAAAAAAAAAAAGAAAAAAAAAAAAAAAAAAAAAAAAATCAGGATTGGGCAATAGCAGTTGAAAGGGAAAAGTAATACCTCTCTTTTTCTTCTTCAAAACCACCAAAATTGACACTAGATAAAAGGGATGTGAGACATTGGGGAAAATAGAGGGTTTAAGATTTTTTTTCCCTATTCAAAAATTAATTTTTTTTACTGATCATCCAGAGGAGAAAAGTGTTTGTTACTTTGACTCAACAAGACCTCTAAATATTTTTAGTTCCTTGCTATCACTATGAAGCCCCACCTGGGGAGGTAGCAGGAAACATTCCCTGGAGGATCCTAGCAGCTTTTGGAGCTGAGCTTCTGAAGAGGGAAGATTTGGTGACTAATCCCAGGAAATCCCCTTCTCCTGGGCAAGACGACCTCTCCCGATCCTGACTGCTGTTCCCGGTGTGCAGCATTTCTCTGGTAAGGGCCCACAGGTGCATGCCCAGACCCTGGAGGGTGCTTGCCCTGCCAAGACATAGCAGTAGTTTGGGTGGTCCGGGCACACCACGATCTGCTCTAACCCCTCCACTCCTGAGGGGGCTGGAGGGGGATCCATCACCCCTTCCTGGTTACTGCCTCCACCTCTGATCCAGCAGAACAAACCTCTCCTCCTGTGCCAGGACTGCTGGTGCTCCCAACCTGACCCCAGCTGCTGGTGTGTCCATCTCCCCTGTGCTGCCCGCTGGAGCATGCTCCCTCCTCTGCTCGCCAGGTGCCTTCCTGAAGGGACAGACCTCCAAAAGGTTTCCACCACTTCCTCCCACAGCAGTTTTACCACTTCTCTCTCCCCTGAACCGGACATCTCTGTGCATCCTTTACGTGGCAGATGGTACAGCCATGTTTGCCTGTACCCTCGGTGAGTACTTGCCCAGCACAGTCCTGCTCTGGGCAGCCTTGGTCGGTCCAGGGCACGATCAGGAGGCAGCACATGCTCAGCACTGTCCCTACAGGCAGCACAGCCAGGGCTGATGTGTTTTGGCTGGAGAGGAGAGAGCAGGTGCTGTGGTACTCACCTTCAGATCCTCATCATGGCTCTAAGTGTCCCCTGGGGTGTATATGATGCAGGTGACAGGAGTCTGCAGCAGCAAAGTGGCCCAGGGATGGAGAAGACACTGGGCTGCTGCTCTCTGTTGGGGAAGAAGGGTCTGACTCTGCCCACAAAGCAGCAGTAAGAATGTGGGTGTTGATTTTTGCCAGCTTCTACATGGGGAACGGGCTGGGACAGAACATGGGCTTGGTGGCAGATGTTGAGGCCTTGAGACCAGCCCTTGTGACCTGCCAGGGTCTTCCAGTGCTATCCTGACATCAGGAAGAGGGCCAAGATCCCTGCAGATGGAGTTAGAATAGAGAATAGAAGTAACAAATGCAAACCGTGCCTACCTCACACCACTTCCCCAGAGAGGTCCTGCCAGGGAGGCACCGGGGTACCAGCAGTGGCTTGCAGGTGGTGGCTGAGCTGGCGAGAACCACGAGCAGGGCAGGGGAAGGACAGAAGAGACAAGGGTGGGGTTAAAGGGGAGAGAAGTGGCTGAGAGCTTTCACACAGCCAGGCTGGGAGATGACTGGTTTCACACTGGAAGGCCTGGCAGCAAGGACTTGCCCAATGGCACTGGGAGCACAGTCCCCAGGGAAGATCTTCCTGCTCTGCTGGGTTCCAGAGATGAGAGGTCCCTGGTCACCAAGGGAGGAGATGCTGGAACACAAGCCATGTGTGCTTCTGAGCCTGTTTGCAGCTTGTAGCTGCAGGCTGTGACAAAGACCATAACTTTAAGACATGCTGGGGCTGCACACAGTGCCATTAGCATATGGACATGCCCTAGAACACCTCAAAAGCACCTCAGCTTTCCAGTGTCAAAGTGGGTCTGGGATGTTCTCCACTACACTTTGTGGGCATTGCAGGTTTCCTAAGAAAATATTTCCAAATACATCAAAGTGGTGTGTGATGCGGCAAGCCACTGCCAGCATAGTGCATTTGGGTCACCACACGAGGCCAGCACACTGGATGCTGGATAGGTAAAAAGAGGATGTTGAGCCCATTGAGTCCCAAACACCTCCTGAACGTCCTGGAGCTGCTTGAGTTTGGTTTCCGAGTCTTTTTGCTTTTGAAAGTTGCACTTGTGAGACTCTCTTCTTCCCTCTAGCGCCCATTCCGAGGCATTCCTCTTGCTCTTCAAACCCAGCAAAAGCAGCACTCGCCTGGTTGCATTTGCACTCAGGCACAGGTTTTGTATCTATAAATGATACTACAAATCTCCACCCAGTCATCTGACGTTTTCTTTTTCTGGTTTATGCTGTGCCATGCCGGAGGATCCTGTTGGAAGGCCGTTGTCTCCTGGCAGCTTGAAAAATTATGTCAATTTCTAATTTTAGCACAGTCACCCTGAACTCCAGCTGCGGATGCACAGCCATGAGGTTTCTGATGGAAGTGTGGAGAGGACTCCTTGTTGAGGAATAGGTGAGAGTGAGGCCCTGCACTTGTTGCCTGTGTTAGATCATGCTACACCTCTTCTCAGATCACGTAATTTCTCCTTGGGAGATCAGAAATTACTGCAGTGCCCTAAGGCTGGATCAAGGCTGTCACTGAAAGGTTGTGTTATTTCTGGTGACAGCAAGAGACCTCCAGGATAGCATCTCCATCACTTGGGTCACCTCCCAGCTGGCTGAACCGGTTTCCAAAAGTCCAGCCATAATCCTCCTCTTTGAGGAGAGACATGCCCCTCTTCTGGACATGGGGCAGCAGATCCACCCTCCCAGGTGCACCTGCACCAGGCCAGCTCTCCACCAACTGAGGGTCTGCCCTGGCTCCCTGAATTCCATCCAGGACAAGCCCTCCTTGGTGTCCTGCAGCTGTCCTGCCCTACCTGTGCCTCTCTGGAAGGTCCAAGAGCTTCCCAGACTGGCTCAAAGAGCCATATGCACTGAGGTGCTGCCCCAGTGCTCACAAGCTGTCTCCACTCTCCAAGGCTGATCCTTAGTCTTGGCCAGGACATTTCCAGAATCTCCTGGGGTAATTTTAGAGGAACAAAACACAATAAAAACATGGCCAGGATTCTCTGGTGTAATGAGAAAGCCATTGCAGGGCAGGATTCATCTCACCTGGCAACAGATGGTACCGAGCAGACATGTAAGCCATCACAAACCCTGTTTTATCGGTGGAGAGACTGGCACTACTGGAGCATGAGCCATCTGACTCATACTCCAGCAGCACCTCTGTTCTACTATGGGTGCAGATACTGCCCATTGCAGGGAGCCCAAGCCTCTCAGGCTCTGAACAAGCCAAGGAACTGTGTAGGAAATGATCCTCAGTTGGCCTGTCATTTGTGTGTATTTGAAGAAGGGACACGTACGACATTTTCCTTCCTGAACATCTCCTGTGTTTTATCCTCCTTGACAGCCAAAGAAAATATCTTCTATTCATCCTTTAATGAAGATTAATTTACTCCAAGTGCAAAGCAATCCCAGGCCTTCACTGAGAGTAATGGCCTTGGCATTACTCTCGGTGAAGCCGTGAGCCCTGGGCTGTGCACGCAGCTGCTGTGGGGGCCCTGGACAGGGTGAGCATCCCCTTTGGCCTGTTCCTAAGTGGGATGCCAAGGTGTCCACAATGGGCTGGGCTCTGCAGAGCTGGGAGGTGCAGAACCCAATCCAAGTCTGAGCAGGAGCCACCTTTGTTAGGGCCTATTTGTCAGGGTGGGATGCTGTCCCAGACATGCTCCCTTTCAGGGGTAGGGATGATTCTTAGTCAATGAAATAACTGGCTGGCACACAGATCCCTACTTCTTTCTCCCATGTTTATTTTAAAGTTCTGACTGAGTGGAGTCTTTCAGTATGCAGGGCACCACCAGCCACTCCAGCAGGGCTGTTCGTGGGACACCAGCTAAGTGATGCTGAGAGGCCTCTTAGATGGATCGTGCTTCTGCTAATGCTGCAGCATCTTCACTTTGGGCCAAATCCCATTGTTCTGAGCCCAGCTCCCTGCAGGGCAGCTGTTCCCAGCTAACCACCCCCTCCCTTAGCAGCATGTACTGGTGAGACTTGGCTCCCAGCAGAAAACTCTTCCCTGCAGTGCTGATTTATTAATAGGTGAGGGGAGCAGCTCTCGCCCCTCTCTCCAGCTTACACACTGGATATCAATTTGGCAGCCAGCAGAAAATCCCATTAAGGCAGTGAGATACTTAAAGGCATCAGCAACTCCTGGCCCAATACAAGAATGAGGGGATGGACTCTGGTAATGCACATCTGAAACTGGTCACATCCAACTGGAAGCAAGGACCCTACTGAGACAAATATTAAGAGTCTGCAGAGGCAGGGATGGGAATAAGCTCATTCATTAAAGGACTTTGTCTATGTTCAAGGGACCAATGCGTGATTTTAACAGAGAAAACGGTGACAAAAAGCCCACACAATGAAACTCCCCTTTTTTCATTTTGGGCCAAGAGAACTGAATTCACAAATAGCCCATCATGCCTTACATTTCCTAATTAGCCTATTAAAGACCTGGCTGGCTTCTCCATTTTCTAGATGAAAAAGTTGGAAAATGAACCAGCAGAGGCTAAGCCAGGGCAATCATTTTCCCTGTGGATCTGTTGTAGCTGTCCAGACAGCAATGGCCTTGTTTATTTTCCTTGTCCAGGAAACTGCGACAGACAGCAGCATGGCAGCCCTGGGAAACCCTGAGGTGCACCCAGTACTGTCAGAGAGAAGAGAGGAGGCTACCAGCCCTTCTTCCCCATCAGACTGGGTGATCACAAATCATGGACTTTGTGACCACAAACTTGCTTTCTTAGCAAGCCTCTCTGTTGTTCCATGTGTGACAGGCTGGCCACTCAGTTCTGGACACTGAATCCCCACAGACACAAGAGCAAAGGGCACCCAGCCTGTCTTACACATCCATCCCTCCCAATACACACCTGAGGAGGTGACCACCAATTGATGCAGTGATCAATAGGCATATCAATAGACATCTCCTCCTGCCCCTGGCAACACACCACACCACCATGCAGCATGTGACTGCCTTGGTTAGGCCACCAGTGGGGCAGAACTGCTTAATAAGTGGTGGGGTGGCTGTTCTGAAGGTCACACACAGCCTGCAGCCCTGATAGTGTGTGTGTGTCCTGGGTGCCTGATGGGAAAATACAACAGGAAACCCTGAGTTAAATGGTTTTGATGAAGCCCTCAGGTACTGATTTCTCCCACACCAGGGCAGAGCTGTTATTTTCTGACCAGTTCTCCACATCCTCTCTGCCAGTTCAGAGAAGCTTCTTGTTCTGTGCACATACAGAGCCAAGTGGAGTTTGCTGCGAGACCACAGATGGTTTTGAGAGACTTTCCAGATCTGTACCAAGTTTTGTCTCTGCAGATGCTCATGTCCAGACCCAGTTTACACATCCACTGACCTTTTTTTTTTTCCCTCCAGCCCTTTGAAATTAAAGATGTCGATTGAGAAGGAGGCTCTGAATATCTGGAGAACACAGTCCTACCCATCACCCCCTGGTACAACCCTGGATATAGAGCAGGGTCAGTGCTGTGAGTGTCTTCTTTCTTTTACAAGGCCAGCTTTTTTTGGTGTGTGATAGTATGGTCAGTGACACTGGCAAAAAGTCAAATTTAGGAGCCTACTTAGGGACACAGGCACTGTTGCTGTGTGAAATCCTGCCTGCATCCATAGTATTACATAAAATCACATACCACATAAATTTAAATGATTTTTGATACATGATTTCTGCTAGTACACACCAAAACTGAGCAAACTTGCTTCAAGCTCCAGACTATTTTATAAGATAAAGTGGTGCAAGGAGCACCATGAAAAAGGAAGTTTTAGGGCTTTGTCTATTATTCTGATTCTCTAAGTTAAGATGGCCAGAATAAAGGAAGCATAAACTAATTCATTAAATCATTGTGTAATTACAATTTTATAAACTGATTTTAAAAATGTAATCTAACATAGTATTTTAAACTGGAAAAAATGTGATGATGCTTGGTTTCAGACTGCAACATCCATAAAGTTGTAAGACACAGTCATTTGGAACAGCATCTCACAGACTGCAGTCACTAAAACAGATGTTTTGGATCTTACCCGGACAGGAAGCAAATGTCCTAGTGAAAAAACAAGAGATTATTCCCTTACTTCCCTGCTTTGCTGCATCATCACTTAAAAATATCCAGTTATAATAAATTGGAGATCTATTTGATCTGAAAATGCTAGAAATTGGATGGAGGTAAAAGGCACACGCAGAGGGTGCTGTGACACCTGGTGACAGAATTCAGCTCTGCTAGAGAAATTCTGGAATGCAGTGTCTATTCAGAGAAAGTGAGACAAATCCTTCCAGGTAGCTATGGAGCAAACAAACATGTTAATATTGGGATAAGCCACTCATCCAGTATTTGCTCCCATAGCAATGCATCCTACAAGAAACTCCAATGCCTGTGTATAGGGTGAGCTCCTGTGGGGGCATAAACTCTGAAACCATCTGGCCTTCCTGGGCTCCTCCTCAGGCAATGCACCCCTCCCTTAGAACCTGCTCTGGTCAACACTTCCTCTCAAGCCCTCGATTTTGGCCCTCACATGCTAAACATCCAGGACTGCAAAAGACACATTGCTGGCTCTGCTGGTAGGTCACCTCCTCCAGCCCACTCCACAGACAGCAGGCTCCATGCTCTGCTCATGCTCTTTGTTTGGTGTCCCTGCCTGACTCACAGAGCTGGGTATGGTGTGGATGAGAGGAAGTATGACAGGATTTGTTCTGTTTTAGTGCATATAGGTTGCAAAAATAACCACATTTTTCTGTAATAAGAAGTTCATTAGCTCATTGGTTGATCAGTGGTTGCTCTTAAAATATTTCTGGACCAGCTGTATCCTGAATTGAGGCAAATCACGTTGTTTGTTTGAACTGCTCTGTGTTTAGCTTGCAGAAGAAGCTGCAGGACAGCATCAATCCTTCATGGCTGCACTGTGTACATGGCTCCAACACACGCTGTCAACTGGGTATCTTCTAGAACTGAGGACTTCTGTTCCGAGATGTTTTTGTGGCAGTGGATTTTTTTGGCAATGACTGCAGAAGGGACCTGGCAGTCAGGGACCAAGCAGAATTAATTGGCCTAAACCTCTGCGAGGCTTTTGTGGATGAGCAGGCAGCTGGGTGCTTGTGGTTGATCTCTTTAGAAGGGCTCTCATCCATGATGGGCCTGAGGAAAAGAGGAAAACTGTGGTGAGACTGCACTCCATATTTGAGTATCTGCATTCTCCTCAGCAGCTCTGAAAACTGAACCAAAAGCTGCCAGGCCTGGGAGAAGCCCCAGGCACACGAGCTTCCCACACAAGCACATGCTCTCTGCCTAGGCTGACTCCAAAGTGACTACATTAATTCCAACCCAAGCTGTCATGTCACAGGTCCTCAGTTGTATTTCTTCAAAGAAGCAGCAATATGATACTAAATTTGCAGCAAACAGGTTCAGAAATAAACATGTTTTGGTGCATGTGACATTTCTCTACTTTATTTTCCAGAGCTCATTCTAACATGAATTTGTGGCAGGGAAAAAACCCAAATGGGATTTCAGGAACTCTTCCTGGAGTGTACTGGAGAAGAGTTTTGAATGAGTGCCACAAGATCTTTGCAACAGACACAGCATTGGCTCTGGGTGGGGAACATGAGAATGGAGCAGTAAGAACACAGCAAAATTCTGGGCTATAATTCAAGAAAATACAAAATTTACAATACTTTAAGCTATAAGGAACATGGGAAAATGTTTCATTAACTTTAGAAAGTCAAAGGTAAATGTCAGTACAAATAAAAGGAATTCTTTTTACAGAAGAAGCAGGAGACTCCAGAGAGACAGAGAAATCTGCCTTTTCCTGCCATGAAGTAAGTCCCTTCCATTTTCCCCAGACACATTCCAGTGCACATACCTGATCCTTGATGACCCCACAGCTGCTGGTCCTGGAATGGGCCTTTGCTGGCTGATGGAGCCCACAGGCTGGTGCTGCCTTTGGGATCCAGAGGCAGCCAGTGTGCTGTGCAGGCCCAGGAGAGAAGGTTGTTTGTCCAGGGGCCGGGCGGAATTCTCTTGATGAGCCTTTGACTGGCACTGCTGTGTATACTTCCCGTCTTCCTCTTGGCTGGGTGTCTTTAGGCCCATGTGGTTCCTTGTTTTCCAGGGTCTTGCTGCAACATCCACTGCAGAGGCAGGTGAAGGGTTTTTTGGAGGGGATGGAATTAGATAACGTTTTGAGTTGGAGGGCACTGCACCCTCCTGAGCCTGGGATGAACCTGAAACAGAGTGGAAAGCACAGTGATTTACCAGTTCATCTGACTGCTAAATGACTAACCCAGGGAGTGGAAGGTTTTGGAGATGCTGTGTGATGGAGCAGGGTGAGCAGTTGCGTCTCGATGCTGGCCATGTTGAATTGCTTCCTCTGACAGTAGGTTTGGGTTCACAGGCAGCCTCCCTGCCAGCACTGCTGGTGATGTGCCAAGCATGGAGCAGCTCACAGGCAGAGCTCATGGGGCACACACCAGCTCACCTGCCCTCCTGTTCTCCAGCAGGATCACACCTGCATCATTCCTCACCAGTGTTTGCACCGACTTGCTCTAAATACCTTAGGACTCCTTCCAGTGATCTGAAGTGCAAGGCAGAGGAATAATCACGGATGAGTGGATCCACTTTTTAAATCAGAGGCAGAGATTATGGAATCTCATCATAAGTGTCTGACTGCTGGGGAAGATATTGCACTGCATGCAGGGCTACTTTCAGGCTGTTTGTGTTTCAGCCATGTAATTCTCTCCATGTAATATGTGCAACACACAGAGAAAAAACTTGACTTATAAATATAACCAGCATGCATACATGCTTAGAACCATTCTAAATATAGCAGGGATCTGATTCTCTTGTCTATTGAAAGAACCAACCATTCTATAAATAGCAGGGATCCAATTGCTTTTGTCTATTAAAAGAACCAATCATACCTAAGTGCCTGATGTGCAGGGTCCAGGGCAGGAACATAATCTAAAGAATGTGCCACCAAAACTCAGGCCCAGAAAGTTGGTATTTGTGGCTCCCAGCTGATGGGGGTGTATTTTACTGCCTAGGTAAAGCTGATAAAAACTTTTCATGGAACAGTTTGTATCATACTATATGCTTTAAAAATGTCTAAACTTCATTATTTGTTTTTAAGTATAGCCACTCTGAGAGACTGGTATGTCTGACTCAAGAGCCTGAAATAACATTCAACGCCTTCCAAAAAATGCAGTTTATACGGATCTGATGCCGCAAACATTTTCATGTGCGAGTGGCTTTGCTCAGATGACTTGTCCTTTTCTGGTCAGGATTGCTTCCAGCAACAAGTTCTTCTGTGAGAAACTCACACTGGATTGGACACACTTCTGTGTGAGATTAGGATCCTGGTCAGTCCCCCCTGCCACCTTAGACAATTCTAAATTTCAAACCACTCCATTCTCAACATCATCCAGCAGATTTAGTTACAAGATGGACAGATCCATGCCAAACAATTCACTTACACAGTGCTACAGGGCATGACACAGGTACACTGTGAGATGTTTGTGATGTTGTCTTGTCAATCTTCAAGGAAGATGAGACCATCATACTCAATGTAGAGAAATCATACAAAATCTGAAAAAGTTCAGATTAAATCTAAAGAGACCACAAGATCATAATTTAAGATTTCTGTGGTCACTGGACAACAGGCCATTCCTTCAGATTTTTCCAAACAGCTTTTATTCTTGTTAGGGGGATACTGTTTATAGTACATGTTAATACACATATAGGCTTTGAATAATTTAATTACATTTCCAGGGTTTTTTTTCAAAATAGACTATATTTTTCTAAATTTTAGTAGATCCATTTTTGCCCTTGAAAGAAATGTAAAATGAAAACTTACATGGCTTTACTTATGGAGAAAAAAAGAGTTGTTTTTATTAACAATAGAAACAAAGATTGAAGTTGTAATTATGTATGGTCCTCTATTTGATATATGTTTGGAATACCCATTATTAATGTTCTTAAAATATTCTTAAAGACAATATTCAACAAGTAGTGAAGAGTGGGAATTCTGCTTTCATTCATGTAAGTGCAATTTCAGAGAAGCCTTTGGCTTTATTCCTGAGTAGAAGAGCATGTTCCATTTCTAAACCTTTTATTGAATACATCCTTTTGGTTGCATATCTTTCCAGAATTCCCAGTTGCTCAGTTAAACCTTAATCATTAGCTCAGTCATTATTTACATCAGTGCCAACTGAGTTCAAATACAGCTCAGTAGGAATGACAGTATTTTCGACTCACCTGGCACTGTCATAAATTAATGACACAAGGTAAAAGACAGAGATATGTCCTCCTACTAGACTTGATGCTAATCTAGTGTAAGATCACCTTTGCTCCTCTTGATTCTACATATTCATGCCAAAATATATCACCTGATGGTCAACACAGCTGGCCACAATGTCCTGCTTGAAAACTGGAATGGATTGCTTAGGGTATGGCTCTGCAGTTGCATTTTCCAATTGCTGCTCTAGAGCACAGACACCAGATCTCATAAAACACTGGGGTTACCAATGCACACATCTACAAACACCACGTGTTACTGCCTGATGCCAACCCTTCCCCAGGGGTTTAGGTCCAGTACCTGTAGAGGAGTGGGAAGTAGGCTCAAGTGGAATCCTTTCAATAAGTTCCTTATCACAGGCCTCCCTCAAGTAATCTTCTGAGCTATCAGTCAGGCTCCAATCTTCACCCTCATTCACCTTTACTGCTTGGCTGGCTTGCCCTTGCTGACCTGCTTGCAGGCACCTGGACAACATCAAGTATCACACCTTTAATTAGCTTTTGAGTGTGTTTATGCAGCTGGTCAAGTGCAGCTTGGCATGGCCACTCAGGCAAACACCCAGGCAGTGGATTTAGTTACCCACTGCTACTTCACAACTTCCAGGAGATATGAAAAATCATTTTAATTGGATCAGCTATCTAAGATCCCTGTGTCTGATTATCTCAAGCATCTTAAAGTTAATCAGGTGAGGTGGGGCAGATTTAGAATACTACCCAGTGAAGTAAGCTCAGAGAAATAAAAGCATTTTAACTTCCAAAAAAACCATTACCTCTCTGTGAGATCTATGAGATCTCACAGATTTCAGCCTTTTGTTTGCTTAGGCCAATGTGCTGCTTGCAGAAAAGCTCATCCATCCCCTTTCAGCTCTTTTACTGACTGAAGGTAGACACTGTCAGGCCCAAGAAAGCCTCGCCAGTTATGAAAAGTAATTTCCTTTGTCTTGCTAAGAAAGTGAGCCCATCCTGCCTGTGCTCCAGAGAGAAGGAAGAGGATTCTTCTTCCTTGCCATCCCGCGGATGCTCCAGGCGGGAGGGAGGATTGCCGCCCAAAGCGGGGACAGGAAGGCAGGAGCCCGAGACTGTCCCTAGAAACCGCCACCAGGTGGCCAAAGCGATGATTTTATTTTTGCAGCAGAAAATAAATGCACAGTTCATTGCACGGCAAGATTTCCCCGGCGGTCTCACCCCTTATCCTGCTCGGCCCATGTTCCCAGGTCAGGGGACACCTTTTCCTGGTGCAGATCTCTTCCTCCTCCAGAGCCACAAAGGTTTTCTGTCATCAGACTGGATGGTTTCAAAGGGCTTACAGTAGGAGGTAGCTGTGGAAATGGCAGAAGTTATCTAGATATCCCTGGGAACTCTCACCAGCTCCGTTTCTAGATGTGGATTTTAGAATGCATCAAAGCCCACGGTTATTTTTTAGATCATTCCTCATCATTTTCTAACTCCTCAGTTTTAAGTCCCCCTCCCCAGTCATGTACAGTTATAGCCTGAAGAACCAGGACAGCAGTTACAAAATTGTTGATTTATATTTCACTGGATATAAGCCCATAGCACCTATACCAATAAGCATATTAGGACCAGTACCACAGAAACTGCATCACTCAGTATATGACCACAGTTTGACTCCACATCCCAGTTTTTAGCACGCAATAATTCACTAAAATGTTCAAATTTGTTTCAGAAAAGCTTCCCATGCTGAGGCAGTGGCAGCAGAAAGACAAGGGCAGTACATATTTTTTCCCTGCAGTTCTTTAACATCTGTTGTCAGCATTAAGCCTGTCCTGTGCATCTCCCTGATTTACCCCAGCCTGTTTAAATCTACTCATGTACACTGTGCTGTGTTGAGTGTCAGAGCCCACAAAAGCTGACCATGACAAGCCAGGCTGCTCCCCTTTACACACACAGGTGTCCTCTCACTGAATTACTGCCAAAATGAGCAGGCTGACCCAAAAGGCAGGGGCACCACCCCACCGCCAAGAGGAACAAACTTCGGCTTTGTGTTTGTTTTGTCAATAGGAATGACCTTGCAGTATTAGCAAGGTGACTGTTTACATCAACATCAAATAAACACTGCTGAAAAAAGACTTTTTCTTAGTAGCTACTGCAGAAATACCATCAAATTTTGCAATCCTGCCTTGTACTTTGCCCACTGCAGGACGATAGGAAGTCTGTCCCCAGCAGCTGATAAGTGATTTTCACATATTCCCTGACAGCTGATGGTCCACTGCTGCTAACACATGGGCACATGCAACGTCATGGTAGGAGACCCTCTGTCCTCCTCAAAGGCAGCTGCATGGTGGGGGTTCTTGGGCTACAGGAGAGAGTGAGGTGCTACAAGCCACAGTGGGAGTTCAGTTTATCCCAGGAGTTATGGGGGTCACCAAGCAGGAACATGAAGTATACAAGAAAAACATACACCTAGCTTTTGTCTCCTTGCATGGAGGGCCTTGGCGGGGTTCCCACATATAACTTGACGGAGTCCTAAGAAAAACAGGAAAAAGAAAACATTTTACTCCTGCATTTAACAAATGGTGCTGTCGTTGAAGTCAGTCAATATAACTTTCCATAGACAGGAAGTTGTAATATTTCATGGTGTAGGTTTGCAGTATCAGCAGGCATGGCTTGACACTGCTGCTAAGAGGCAGCTTCTCTGCTTTCACCAGAATCTGTCTTCTTCTGCTCCTTCCCTGCCTCCTTAGTTGTGCTGGTGCAAATATTTGTGTGGACACATGGTCAGTCAGATCAGGGAACAAATTCAGATTAAAAAAAAATATTATTTTTGTGGGTCTTTTTTTGTTTGTTCTGCTGGATTATTTTTCAGCTGGATCTTGATCAAAATCAGGTTAACAAGAGATAAGGCAGCAAAAGGTCAGAAGAAGCAGTGAACATTGGGTGAAACTGTCTCTATGAGTAGTGTTAGCTGCCTAAAAGTGTGTGTAAAATTACGGTCTCATTCCCTGACAAGCTGTACTTAATTTCCATGTACATTTCCAAATGTGCATTCAGCTCTTGACTCTGCATTGCTTCATTTAATCCATCATCCTGAGACCTACCTATAGGCAGGGAACTGAGGAAAGATTGGCATATGAGAAAAGCAGCCACAACACCAGGAAACAAATGCCATCTTTCTATCTAATCTGCAGTCAGTGGGCTGGTGCAGTTACACCGTCAAGGTGTTTCCAGGAGGGTGGTATTCCCATTCCAGAAGGATGGGTGGTATTTCCAAGTGACTAGGGCAAGAAGAGCAGTGGGAGACCTGTGTTTTGGATCAGTTTTGGGCTGATCCTGTGGATCAGGATGTGAAGTCAAGGAACTGACTCCTCTTGCTGAGGAACCAGCCTCTGGAAACCCAAACCAAAGCGCTCACTGACAGCAGCGATGCTGCTGTTGCAATATGAGACTGCAGCACACAGCCTGAGCACATGATCCAGTGGGGAGTGAATGGGCATCACCACGCCTCTCCAGAGGACTACCCTGGACCATGTTCCCGTGGCTCAACAGGATGAGCCTGATGTTACTCAAGCAGGACAGCTGTGATGAGGTCTGAAAGGCACTGCCAGCACTGCAATGTGGGGCTGTGAAAAGCGACAGCAGCACATGGTGCATGGGGGCGGGGGGCTGAGGAGTGCGCAGCCCAGGTGACTCGCACCTTCTGCTGCAGGGGGAAATAAAGGAAAGCCTACGCTAGAGCAGGTGAGTCTCGTGGAAGACAACATATGCTGAACCTGATTAGCAGTGCCATGGGTGGGTGGTATTCAAAGCACCCTGGCTTTCATCAGTAATAACATTCAGGAGGAGGTGGAGGTGTGGGAAAGAACAGGATTAAAAAAACATACATTACCATGTGTCAAATCACTAGAGTCATCTTCTGTGAACAGCTTATCAGGAAAAACAGTGGAATCTGGAAGAGGACAGCTACCAGACAAGAGGCTGGCATCACTACACGTCCCTGCATTAGCAGAACACTCTGCATTTCCAGGTCTGGAAGGTGTTGGGGGTTTTGGGCTGAATCCAGACTGCTTTGCTACTTCCCCAAGATACAGATCTAGAAGAGAGATTTCATTAGTAGAAGCACAGTTGTGCAAGGCTTCAAACCACACCATCACTGTACCTTGCCAATATGGTAACTGCTGCTGCACACCTGGAGCTATAGGGGACAGAAAAGTATGTAACTGCAGCTAAAAGAAACATGCTGGAATGGGTCCAGCATAGAGACAGAGGTCTTCCAGTGCTGCACAGTCATGGCAGAATCTGGGGATCCCCTAATCAAACTGATACCCCTTCTCACCCTTCTACTCCTGGGCACCAGAGACAGACTGCTGGGGTTATGGGTCAGGAACTCTTTCTGCTTGCCACCCACCTCAGATTGTCCCACAGGTGATCCTGGATGTATCCAGGGCTCTCCTACTTTCCCTGCCTGCAAGCCCAAGAAAACTGTAAGATGCCTCTCATTTGCTGCCCACCTGCCCAGAGGGGAACCATTACAGACTTGCTGCAGGCACAGCCTAGTCTTAAAAGTTTAAGCCCAGTCTTAAAACACATTGCTTAAATGCCCTGGCACAATGCAGATGGTGATGCACACCTTACCAGAGCTACCAGCCAGCTATCAGGGGAAACTGTACCAGGAGTTACAGAAATCTGGGAATGGCAGTGATAGATTTTTCCAGTACTGCCTCAGAGACAGATAGTTCTCTATCTCAGAAAGAAAGGTGAAAAGTATTTTTGTAATGCTACAGGACAGGAAGGGTTATACAAAAACTAGCAAAGGCAGACAGAGCCTTGTCCTCTTGCCTGCCCCATTGCTGGCTGTCCTGGGAGCACAGCACAGCTCTAAGAGCAGAATATGCAGCCAACAACCCATGGGAGAGAGAATTTAATTTCAGTGCCCTGATGAATAACATGCTTTTTAAAATGTTGAGCATCTACCAGCTCCAAAATGAAGCATCAGGTCTGTGATAATATGGACATTTACTTAAGAGTTGAGTGTTAGGGACCTTTACTATATCTTGGGCACAGCTGTTAATATGAACCCATGAAACACACACCATGTGAAAAGCATCAAAATCAACACTGCTGCTGGAAAGAAAAAAAGTACTGGGATGTCTGAACCTGACTGGATGAACTTACTGGTTTAGAGCCGCCAGCAAGAATGTAAGTCTGGTTACACCAGGAAATGACAGGAATTCATAATTTTGTGCTCTGCCCCTACTGCTTCTGTCAGCAAACTTTGTTAACTAGTTTTCTGAATCTCAGGTGATGTTGCCGAAGCACAATCACTGAGGGATCAGATTTTAATGGATTTTTTCCCTACCACGACTACTATTACAACTAATGATTTGGACCCATAGGGATTCAATAAATGACAAATGTATGTACTTATTCCAAAACAAACTAAATTTTTAATGGAGTACAGTTGGCAGGCAAACCACAACCTGGGGAGGGGGCTGGGAAGCCAATTGCATTGCCCACACTAATGGGAAGCAACATGAGCAGTTATAGGAAATACTTTGCAATATTTAATAGTATGTGGTAAAGTGCATGTAGCATGACACATAAAAGCATGGACATCTGAACTATTACCAAGGCTGCAGGCAAGGGGACAACAGATTTACGTTCAAACCATTTGTTCTCTACTAATGAATGTAATGAACTTAATCATAGTAACAAAGAAAGTGGAACAGATTTCTTACAAGATCATGCAGTCTTCCTTGGATGCTGCTACCAGTGAAGGGTGGTAACCAGATTGCCTTCCCTATTATTAAACTGGAATGGGAAATCCTACTACATCCATGCTACACTGGATTGACTGTTACCATGGAAAGAGCTGGGAACAGCTGTTGTTGAAACATTCCTTTCCAAGCTTTGCTTCTTCCCATCATGCAGAACGAGCCCTAAGTACAGATTCCCAGTTACTGCTCTATTTGCTTGATGCTCTAGAATTTGTCTGCATTTTTTGATCTTGATGCCCAGCTTAGGACAACTTCCATTTAAATCTGCACTGTTATCTGCTGAATTCCAGCTTTCTTACTTACCAGGTGAAGAAGACAACATCCTTTGTCTGTCCCTTCACTATAAGTAAAGACCGGCTTTAAAGAGATCCGCTTGCTCTTCATCTTTCTTTTTTTACATATCATAACTTGAAAAATGAACCACAACAAGGAACCTGTCATACCTAACTGTGAAATGTCTTTGACTAAACCACCTTCCTTGATGGATTTCTTGATGATTAGAGAATGCTCATGCATCTTCTTGGAAGGAAGGAGAGCAGTCTGACTTGCTGGTATTCTGTCCAAATACTTCAAGTGGGGAATGAGTTTTTTTACTTCTGCTCTGTAATTATAGTCTGGGTCCTGGAGAAATTGAGAAAGTGGTCAGTGTATTTAACAGTTTGTGGAATGCCAGTAGCACAGTAATGTTCAATTTGTATGACTGCCATATGATTTGAAATGCTTCTCACATCATTTCTACTTGAATGAATCATGAAAATGTCCTGAGGACTGCAAAGACATGTCCTTCAAAGGCTCCTTTGTTATTTACCCACTGATGACTTTGCCATTTGTCTTTGTTACATTATGTATAATGTACAGAAGCATAGAAGGCCACTGATGCCCACAGAAAGCTGGGGCACCCTCAGCATTCAGCCAATCTGTCTCCCTGCTTTTGCAATTCTCTGGTGTTTGCATCAATACTCAGGTGATAGAAAGATTTGAAAATATGTTATGGGTGTTGCAACACCTGCTTATGGAGAAAGAAAGAGCACGTCCATGGACTGTGTTTTTAGACACACCATAAAAAAGACATATAAAACAAGAGTGCACCAATAGTGGCAGAATACAAATGGACAGCTACCCACCAATCAATTGCTTCACCCAGGCAAATCTTACGTTTTTCAGGGCATTGCATGAAATACTAGAAATCCCCACAAAGCCAAGTCTTCATTCAATATGGAGTGATCACAAACAGAAATCTTTCTGTGGGGCCTGGATGTCTGGATGCTCCCTCCCCCTGCACAATGCAGCACTGACATTGGCAGAAGGAACTCACTAAATAAAATGTCTTAGTTGTTGTTAAGAGGTGGACACTAATTTCTCAAACTAAGTCTTTAATCTTAATTTAGAGAATGAGTCAACCATTCTCAGCTACAGCCAATTCCCAGCCATGTCCTGTTGGAGAGAAGAATCATGTTACACTCATGTTGCATTACAGCAACAGAAGTTGCAGAATTTATCATCAAGTTGTTGCTCTTGGTTTAGATAACAGGGGAAGATGAGCTCATCTGAAAATCAAATTACAGGGAGCAAACAGGCCATCTGAAGAAAGAGCAGTAAATTTAGCTGGACCATTCTGTAGATTAAAAGTAAATAAATAGGAGAGCTTTTACAGACCTTTAGCAAGGGCCAGACTACAAGAAGAAGCTTGAGGAATTAGAGCTGGCCATCAGGGGCACACTAAAATAAGCCCACACCTACTCTTTTCTATACACCAAAAAAATGCAAACATCCACTGAAATCAAGAAAACAACAAAGTCATGGAGGAGGTCTCAGCAGCCAAGGGCAGGCCCCACTTTGTAACCACCTGAGAGCAAATCATTTTCCCAGCACAGACACTGGGTGGGAGACTACAGGGAACTCAGTCTGCCTCTGCTACAACTCAGTGTAAAATACACCATTGTGCTGACTCCCCAGACAAATTCGCATCTGGGACCACCAATGACCACTGAAGCCCCTCCAGATATTCTTCTGTGGATACCTGGAACTCGGGCTGTAGATAAGATAAAGATGGTATTATTGTCTGGCTGTTATCTCATACTTAACGTGAGGTTAACAAAGCTGGGAAGAAGAATGTATCACTGATAATGGAAACAAAAAAATGTACAGGCCACACCACGAGGAAAGACAAATCAGCAGCTCTGCTAAAGTCAGTTCCCACTGGGTAAAAAGTATTCTGACAGGGGATGATAGTGATCACCAGCTCAAAAGAAAAGAAAGGCTAAGCATGTGGACTAATTAGCATTAGAGGCAAGAGATAATCACTTAACCAATAGCATAAGAGAACTGTGTAGCCAATAAGCATTAAATCCTGTTTTCTAAAATGTATAAAAAATGAAAAGTTATGAACGACCTTGGGACCCTACCACCAAGAAGCCCCAGCTGAAGAAGGATCAACAGGGATGCCACTGGATCCATGGGCGACAACATTCTTTTTCTCCTCTCTTTTCTATTTATTTTTATTTCTCTACCTCACATTTACTGTGAAATAAAATCTGTATCACTGACTTTGGCATAAGTTTGCACCATAATTCAGCAGAGGTGTCTCTCACTAATCAGATCTTAGTAGCTACTTGCACAGGAGCAGAGACACCCATTCTGCATGGAGCAGAGCAGGAGGACACACCACCACACACTACTGCTCTTTGAACTTCCATTACGGGACAACATGCAGAGCATCCCAAGGACTGATTTCCTCACCTGAACAAGCCAAGGGAAATCTGAGATTTCTCCATTAGAAGTACACTTAAGGACTGAAGATGCCAAACCCTCCAAAAATCCCACTTTCATTAAGCAGGAACAAGAAGGAAGTTGAAGGAGACTTGCTGTGTTGTTAGGATACACTGCACCATTTCTATAGTAGGAAGCTATGATTGGAAGCGTCAGTAGCTGTATTTATCTCCATGGGAGTAGAAAGAGTAAGCAGGCATGCCTTGTACATCACAAGTAGGCAGTGCTTCCTTACTGCAGGAATATGTTTTTCCTCTCATGATTGCATCTTCCATAAGGGAGAAATGTTCCAAAATGGAGAAATCATTTTGGTTACAAGCAGTTACAATATGGTCCTTTAAGGATATTTCTACCAGTTCAAACTAGAAAGGCAAATATATAATATTGTCTTTTGAATTCCAGAGAGGAAAATTATGATAGCTAAAGAGCTACCTTTCATGGCCCCTTTTACTGAGCAATAAGATCAAGCCAACAATTACATCTGAAAAATGCTATTAACTCATTTATTTAAGAAGTGCCAAGATTTATGTCTATTGCATGACTGAGTTTTAGTGTTAATACCTGTTTTCAAGACCAAACCCAGGAAGAATATCAAAACCAAACCTTTTAGGCAAATTAACAGCAGCATGACTTCTTTAAAATACACAGGAAAACTATGGAATATGTTGCAGTGGGATAACACCATCAGCTCTGATTTTGGACATGCATTATCAGCTGTTTATGCTGCAACTGGGAATTGCACCATCCTTAGTGAGACCTGTGTTTTACATAACTCTGTGTGCCAACAGACCTTCCAAAAGACCTGGATGGCAATATGTTGGTGTTTTAATATCCCAACAATGCTTTTTTATGAAGCAGGAGAAAGTGAGAGTAATACAGCTCTAAGGCTGTTCATGAAGAATTAGATCTCCCTTGCTTTGCTTGTTGAGTGCCCTGAAACCCAAATCAGATCATGTATTATTGTGCTCTCATCTTTGTGACACAGAGGCTCTTTCATGCCTTCAACAAAATACTTCAGCAGAAATTATTCTATCATTTTAGTACACAAGAGGCAAATCTCTGTGTTTTGTGTCTTCAGCTTTTTCTGAAGGTCTTTTTGGTCATTTGATTTTAACCTTTCGGGGGAAAGGGTAACAAGCGCTGGGGCTGGAAATGACTTCTTAAGATCACCTAGTCCAGCCCCTCTGCTAAAGCAGGCTCACCCAGAGCAGATTGCATAGAATCGCATCCAGATGGGTTTTGAGTATCTCCAGGGGAAGAGACTCCACAGCCTCTCTGGAACACCTGTTCCAGCGCTCATACTCCAAGAGAAGATGTTTTTCCTCATATTGCTGGGAAACAGGCCTGAGTCTTTACTAGCAGCCTTGTAGTTTGCCTGTGGTCATCTTGGAAACCATACTGATGAGACCACAAAATCAACAGAAATGAAAGGTGGGAAATGCATCCCTTGCCATCATTTAGAATGATGCAATAGGAAGATGCAGAAACGTTTATCATTTCCAACTCACAGTTAAATAGCACTGACAAAAAATTAACACAATATGTGTAAACCAAGTACTCACCTCTGCAGATTCTGCATTTGGCTTCAGGCAAATAAGGTTGCCCTCCACTGTCAGGTGGCTTAACTTGCAACAAAGTCGCAGGTACTGCACCTGGTTGATGTCCTCGATATTGTTCCCTTCCAGGTCCAAAACCTCAAGGTGGTCCAGCCAGGTCAGCTGGCTCAGCTCAGAGATATTGTTATAAGCAATGTAGAGTTCCTCAGCAGAAGTAAACAGAATAAACATGTAAACCATGGGCTTGCACAAGTAACACAAAGCTTTGCAAAATGTTTTCTAATATTTGAAATACTAAATGGATGAAACTAACAAGGAAGTGAACATTTTATAAAGAGTTGTTGTAGCCTTAAATAACAAGCGCTAATTTAGCCATATACTGCTTTAGGCATACTCAGGATCAGACCCGAATGTTACACCTCATTTTAAACAGCTATACTGTAGCATCTTTTAAACTAACACATGCAATTCAAGGCATCAAACCAAAGCCAGTCAGAAAAGGAAAGGGTGAGGAGAATGAAGACTAAAAGTAAAGAAAATCAACTGAAGACAGTTCTGAGATTATCTTTTGGCAGGACACATCTATACTTACTTTTAGAGAGCTGCAGGAAGAGATCCCATCTAAATCTGAGAGCCCACACCGAGCCATCCACAGGATACAGAGATGGGACAATGAGGTTCCAAGATCCCTTATAAAAAACAATTCAAGCTCTATTTGAATGAGTGAAAAAATTCAAGACTTGCTTACTAGGCCACTGAGACTTCTTTCAAATCTCACATTGTTCACAAGAAATTCCATCAAAAATGTTCACCCTCGAAAGTGCGGAATAAAATTATACCACTCTTTACTTATCCCACTGCCATCTGTGTTCTGGTATGACAACATGTCACCCCAGTTCTGTTTGATTAAGATTATTCCAAGAGCTACATCATGATAATTCTGCCATAAATCACAAGCAATTGCTAAGAATTAAGTGGGGTTTTCTTATGCTGGCATCATTGGCTGTACTCATATAACCCAAATTTACATATCTGAGCTGACTGCACGGTCAGTCTCACTCTGTCCCTCTTACAGAGTTACCTCTGTTCTGATTTTGCAGTTGAAAGGAATAACACTTTTGCCAAATAACATTTTTTGAATCAGCAGAAAATTATAATCCTTTCCATCCTATTATCCCACCCTTTGAGTGTAGCAAAATATCCATAAGGGATCATTTATATGAACTTTAAACTTTCTGGTCATAACCCAGAAAATCACACACTGACCTGCTTGAGTTCACGCTTATGTAATGTCCCACTGACATTACAGTGCTGCACAATACAAAGATAACACAAAAAGGGTGGCAAATCAAACTGGGGGCTTAATCATCTGCCATCGCTGGTAACATTAAATTGGCTAAAGCCACTAGTCTACCATAAACAAAATACAACACTTTATCAAATCCCAAACCAACCAAAAGCTCAGAATTCTCGACTGTAGCCATGATATCAGAGTATCTGAATAATAAAGAACTATACAGTGGGTAACTAAATTCAAAGACAGAGGAGGAGGAGACTAGCATGGAGTTCACAGAAACACAGTAATGGCTGAGTTGGAAGGAAGGTCATCTTGTCCAACATCCATACTTAAGCCAGGCCAGTTTCTCAGGACCACATAAGAAGCTAAAGTAGTTCTCAGAATTTTGGATTAGCTATCTCTCACAATATTTATTCTTATAATACAGAGAACCGTAAGTTTTCTACAGGAAATTGCAGAAGACAGAAGTCATGGGGGCCCTTGTAATCTTGAAATATCAAGTTAGCAGTTATTGTACTCATGTCTTCTCTTTGTGGATGACAGGGAACAAGACCAGCTTTGCATTGCCTTCGGAGAGCCTCATGCAGCTTTGATACAGCTTTGCAGCACACCCCTGTAGTCAAGCTGCCTGCTTCAGGGATACTGGGCATCCAGCCAGTCCCAAAGGTCAGGAAGGACTGCTTTTATGAGTGGGGATAGACATATTCTTGTCTGTATTTTTAGTTGTTTCTCTACCATCTGAATACTTGGGAAGAACCTTGTCAAGAGAAAGGAGTCTGTGTATGCCTGAATAAAGGATGAGTGCAAGGAAAAATATTCCCAGGTGCCTCTCTTCTGTGATGGACCAAATACAGGGTTGAATGGAAGTTTCTAGGTGAAGCTGGGGGTTTTCACCCCTCTGCCTCCTCGGGATTGGTATGTCCATGTGAATCATTCACACCTATCTGATTTCATTGATCCTCTACCACTGCAGGGGCTGCAGGCATTGGGTGTCTCCAATTACCCCTTCCCTGGATGCTGCCCATTTAAATAAGCTCACAACAGATGCACCACACAATGTGTTTATGTAAGACTTAATAGCTTTTGAGGTACAAACAGTGCATCTGACTCAATGGCCAGAACTAAACATAAAAAAAAATCTCAGTCTCATTGAACATCTCTTTCCATCTAAGGCTAGTCTTTCCTTGAGGAGAAAACCCTCAACTGATATGAACCACAAGAGCTGCAGTGAATTTTGTGCACCCAGGAATCTTGCCTCTAGTAACATTAGAACAAAGAAAGCCAAATTCATATCACCACATCCCTGGCCTTGCACAAGATCTTCCAGGGTGTATTTACATTGTGTATATTTTCTAAATAAAACAAAAACTGGTTCTAAGGCTTCCTTAAGGAACAGATGCCCTCCAAATTAATATTTACAGAAAATTTATTATTAGATTTGCAAGCTACATGCCTATAATAAGAAAGAAATTAAATTAGATTACAAAAGCAGAACCTACCATCAAGCAAGGCTAACACACCCATAAACACAAATATGGCATTAGGAATAATGTGAAGGGATTGCACTGCTCATTTCATGACCCTCCTCAAGCACTGATGAGATTTTCAAATTTTGGGTTAATTTTGGTGCAGAATTTTCTCTTCTGTAAACCACTGAACAGAGATAAACGGAAGTAGTAACTCTCATTTTTGTGTCATTGAAACAATGTTTCTGATAGAAGCTCTGTTTATTAGGCCAGCAAAACTGAAGACAATCCTAACCTGATTACATATGGTAGAGTAAGATATGGTGAATGGACTTAATTTCCATTTTAAATTTGTCTTGAATTTTTAACTGAAGGGCTTTTGCCACAGAAGATGGCAGTAATATGCTTGTTCCTAATGTCTCTATCAATATGAAGAATGCTGAAGCAAAGCAGAGGATTAATTCCCAAGCCATTTTTACATAGGGCCCCAAGAACAAACAGCTATTCCCTCTAGTCCTTGATTGCTCCATGCATTTGTGGAAGCTGTTTCCTGCTCATACTCTAAGACTTCCAGAGTTAAATCCTATTTCTCTTTGTCTGTCACAGTTTTCTGTTCCAGAGCTGACTGTGGTTAAACCCAGTGCACACAGACAGGGTCAGTCCATACTCACAGTATATGCTAGCTCATGCACAGCACACATTCACTAGGAATTATTAGCTCATAAGTCCTTAAAGCATTCTCCTGCTGTGCACACCATCAGAAGAGGACCCTAACTGAAATTACTTCTAAAGCCTACTTACCTTACTCTTCACAATTTGTGCTACTAAATTTAGTCTCAAATCCATTTCAGTTTCATTTATGGCTTGCAGCTCTGACTCTCCTACAGCTAACTGGCACCAGTCAGGAGTAGCACTTTCAAGATTAATGCTAATCAGAGTTGATGAGGCTTTGTATTCCAGAAAAAGGAATTACGTTGTGCATCCCATGTCTTGGGTACTTGCAGAAGGCAGAACCACTGCATGTTTGCAATGTAAACAGTGTTTAATAACAGGGTCTTGTTATTAAAAAAATGCTTAAACAGACACTTCAGAATATAAAAAAATAAAAATATGGAAGTTAATGGAAATGGTTTCTTACAGGGCTAAAGTTGCTGTCCCAAAGCTCATCTTTAACTCAAGAAGCAAAATACTAAGAAAGGATGAACTTTGTTGCACTGTTTGGCATGACTTGGCTTAATTTTTCTCTCTTGTTTCAGGGAAGAGACTTAGCAGCCCAAGAAGGGCACTCCAGCTCTTATGCAGAGCAAATGACTGCCACCTCTCCTTCCCTGCTAAGGTAGAGGCAGTGAGGAAAAGAGGCAAAAAGACTTTTTCCCCTTTGGGCCCTACTGTAGAACCAAATTCCTCTTGCTGACACTGGGGTCATACTAGCTGCTAGAGGAGCCTAAAATTCTGGATCATGCAGTCACATTTTGGCCCTGCAGATCTTTACTCCTGCATCTGTAATGAGTCATCCCAAGTCAGAGATGTTATCACAGCAAAGTACATCTGCAAACATTTTATTCAGTAACTAACAAACTAATCTTTTGGAAGCTGTATGACTCATGCTGCAGCATCAGAGAAAATTCCCTTGTTAATTACTGTAGAGATAATTGCCCTTGAGAGCATGGATGCTGTAAGGTGAAACAGCCATATAGCTCAAAGCAAGCTGCTCCTCACAACTGCACGCACCTGCATTTCTCAAAATTCTTCTGAAATATTTTGGCTGGGGAGATGAGAACTTAAGAGCTTGCAAGAGATGGGAGTGTCTCCTCTGGGAACAGCTCTAGAGCATCTGGCACATCCACCTTGGAGGGGGTGAGAGCAAAATGAGGAGTTGTTTGAGCACACACGACCACCACGGGCGTGCAAGTGTACACACAGGCGTGTTTTCATTTATGTTAAGTGCAGAGGGTGAGATCAGCCCAAACTGAGGAGATACATCTACTGACCTTTATTGAAATGGAATTAATGGGAATCTGTACTCTGATAATGATTTACTAGGGTAGACTATTTTAATGTAATAATAAATTCTTAATAGCAATTTATCAGGCTAGTAAGAGAGAAAATTCACTGTAATTATACATGCAGTGTAACAGAACACTCCCACCCAAATAATCATTGACCGAGGCTGAAATTAATGAGACACATAAGAGATGAGGATTCTCCTGTACTGGGCATGATCATACAGAAAATTACAGCACCTATTCCAAAAACAAAGTAGGATTAAAAAGTTTGATGGCTGAAAGTAAAAAGATGAGACACTGGTCTCAAGGCTGGTGGCAGTTGGTCATATGATGTAGCACAGGAGTGCTCAGCGATGTGCAAACAGCAAAGAGTTTACAGAAGGAAAGAGAAGACACTGTAGAGGAAACACAGCTCTCATTAAGACAATGAATAATGCCAATCCAGTGGAAAAGTGACCTGTCCCAAGTGACGTGGAAGCTGGGAACTTTACAGGAAAGGCAAAGACTTAATAACCAAAGCCATTATATATCCTGCTCACCCCTGCTATGCTTCATTCAAGACAGGTTTGAGGCAGAGAGATGGAGCATGGGGTGGGGATATGTATATCATAACGTTTGATTGTGATAAACAAGAGGATTACAGCCCCTGAAGCTGCCAAACCAGAGTCCTCCTGAGTAATTACTCCACATGGACTCCTACACACATGCTTGCCTGCAAAACACACACTGAGTATCAGAGCATGTTTTCAGTGTCCCAAAGTGCTAAGAAATCAATATAGACTTCCCTAGTTTCACTTTTAACCCAAAAATTTGCATTTATAATTGATTTTGATAAAATAATATTAATAAACTGATGGCTTTGAAGTCTGAGTTCCAATTATCTCAAAATAACTGCAGCAGGGATGGGAACTCATCAAACA